ATGATGGTTCCTTAATCTTTCCTCTCTGTTGATAACCTACTGGTTTGGTAAAAATGACACTGCAGAAAAATGTAGTAAAACCTTCAAGTGTAAGAAAAAAAACATGGGAAATAATCAAGTGAAAAAATGTACTGGAGAGATTTAGGGCATTTATTGGTGCACAGGTGATTTCAGAATAGGCTAAACTAAATGCAGTCTTGCATTTTTATCACGTGTGGTGAGATCTGAGATATTACCTAATACTGACAGTTAGTTAGTTGCTAGTTTATTTCTGATATAAACACAGCTCTGTTCTCTCTGCTTTTGCATTAAACAGCAGCCTTCACTATTAGCACGGTGACATAAGTAACAGTGATTTAGGATTCACACTTCTCTTTGCATTGAGGAGTTGTGCACTGCCCTATTGTAAAGCACTGTCAGATGGTGCCCAACCCTAAAGCACATTACATAAAACAAACCCTGAACGCAAAACTGTGCAATAAGTGCGTTTGCCTGGGATCAGCATATTTGTGAAATTAAGAATAAATGCTGAAAGCCACATCTGGTATTCATAAATCAGGACCACAGTAGTAAAACTAATAAATCAAAATCTATCTTAGAGCTGATTTATAGATCAGAAAGTTAAAGCATTGAAAACTAAGAGTAATGGGGTTTGTGGAAGAAAGTGCCAAGCCACAGGGAGCAGTGCCAGTTCTATAATCACTAAAGCAGCAGCCCCATGAGGCTCTGGGGTCAACAAGCTCTACAAACCAAGCCAAGAACTAAATATCCCATTTTTTGTTCTTAAGCTTACTATTTTTAGGAGGGACACGTTTAGTTGATTATATAAAATAATGCTTGTCTTGTAAAGGGAGACCTAATCAGACAGAGGGCAAGATTGTGGGCTGAATTACAGGAAGGCAGGGTATACCCTGGATGGGACGCCAGGCAATCACAGAACACACACACACACACACTCACACACACACACACACACACCGGGGCCAATTTTCCCAGAAGTCAGTTAACCCACCAGGATATTTTTGGACTATAGGAGGAAACCGGAGCACACAGAGGAAACCCACGTGAACACAAGTAGAACATATAAACTCTATGAGTTTGAAAAGCAAAGTGCACACTCTGGAACTACATAAAAATTCCTCACAGCTTAAATATCATAACAGCTCTAAACGACAGCAGGCTATTTGTCCCATCAAGTTCCATTGGTGTCAGGGCGTAGTAGCTGTAACTGGCCACAATTTCGAGATGTTCCAGCCCCACATACAATACTGTGATACCACGAGTGTTGTGAACAACTTAGGTTTGACTAAGAATGAAACATCGCAAGCCAGGCGAATTTCACTTTTTCACTTCTGCAAAACAGCTTTTTAACTGCCTTTAAACTGATGTTTACAACAAGTTGAAATGTGACAGAAATCTATATTTCAATCGCTGTTCGCTGTGGACGTTTACATTAAGCTGATAGGGCAGAAGTCTGTAAAACTGTTGACTGGTGTTACTTTCAGTATCACACTGCTTCACATGCTTAGTTATACTATATACAGTACTTATACAAGTTCTACTTTTTAGAGCATGAAAATATATGTCTCTGTACTGAATGCTAAGACACTGATCAGAACTTGACAAATCTGCGGAATAATCCGTTCTAGCTCTGAAGCCTATGACATCCAAGAGCTTCATCTCTTCAGGAGAGGCACCTGAACTCTGAAGTGAAAGACTGACTCCTACTCACAGTCTCGTCAGCAGAGCAGGTAGCCAAAAGACTGTCGTCAAACGGGGAGAAATCAAAGTCTGTTATCAGGTCTGAGAGAAAGAAAGAGGGAGAAAAAGGTGTTAGGCTAAACTACTGCACAACCGCCAGACTTCATGGCCTGAGATTTGCAAGCAAACGTGATTTTACACTGCTGTTTTTATTCTGGCACTTTTTAGTCACAATTTCCTTGTTTATCCTTAACGATTTTTTGTTCATTTCCTGACAGGTTTCACTTTAGTACTTGCGACAAAAACATGAATATCTGCAGCCTGCTGCAGCAGCCTTAAAAGCACATTCTGGAAATTGTAAAGCTATTTTTATGAAGTTAAAGCCTGGACTGCTTGCACCTTACACATAAACTATGCAACTGTTGAGCCTGTTGTAACCTAGGCAATAAATTGCTGTGTGACAGGAAATGATGCTCAACATTCGAAAGGTCCTATATAAAATATCACATGGCTGACGGGGAGAAAGGGGGCGTCTCTTCTTTCTACGTATGAATCTAATCTCCAGTGCAGGCTGCTGAGTACCTACCCGCGTGACAGGGAATCTGCGATACTGTCCACCTCTCGTCAGGTCCAGGGTCCAGGGACACCAGGCCCAGAATCCCACCCCCTGAGGAGAGAGCGCACAGGTCAGACACGGCGCTGCTCCCGACAGGTCTGGGACAGGAGCCCCTGCCACAGCGCCTAACACAGCACACAAACATGTACGACAACAGGGGGGCCACCTTACCAAAGCGGCAGAAAAGGAAGAAATGGGATGGAGGTGACATTTACTGTTACACAGGGGCTCTTTTAATGATCCTCTCCTGAAACTGCTAATTTGATTCCCCTTGAACCCGGCCAGCCCTTCTATAAAAGAGTTCTGCAACAGCAGCTAATTTACGGGTGTTTTGGGGACCTCCTAAGCTCTCAGGGCAGTTTAACTGTGGGGATCACGGCTGGTTCCCTTTAATCTCTTCATGGCTTTGGGCGATTCCTACTGCTGAGGTGGGGGCTGAGGAAGATGAAGGCATCAGTGGCAAACGAATGCTTGAAAAGTTGCCAGGGTTAAGGAAAGCCTTGACTGCCACCTCACTTTAGCCCATGTCCTGTGTCCCTGTGAGTTTTTGTGCACCAGCAGAGTGATTGCATGCCTATTTGTGTTGCGAAAAAAGTGACCTATTATTTGAATTATTCATCGTCGTTCTCTGATTTTGCCTCTGAAGAACATAAGAGAGTCGCCCGGGAAGTGAGATAATAATATCATTTCTTGTTTTTGTCTTTTTTTGCAAACTATGCAGTCTAGTGGCTTGAAGTAGGCTGTGTGCTCAAACATATATAAAGATGTTGCCTGTCCTTGGTCAGTAAGATAAGGGGCATGTATTTGGTAAGCTGGCTGTACGCCCAGAATATGAAAAGAACTAACTGTTGTCTAGTCTGCAACTTAGATATAATTAATTGGCAGGTGTTGCTGTCTTATCATTTGTTTAGAATGTGTCATAGTAACTCTTTTTGTTTTAAGGTATAAAGGGCCGTCTTCAGCTCCTTATTTTTTAGGTCTGGTGGTCGCAAGCCGGACTTCCATATGCATATGAAAAAAAGAGACTTCTGCTTCACAGACAGCTGAACTTTGTCATTTGTCTGACACTACACCTCTGCTAAGATTACTTCCCCAGTTTATTAGAAATCCTAGGAAAATTCAGAAGCTGGAGCTGAATGAGAGGAAATTTGATAGGGACACATATCAGTGTGACACCGAATGCTGTTTCAACGACATTTTCAGTTTGGTGCACCACAAATATCCTCCCCCCTTAAAACAATCTTGCAACCTGCTTTGAAAGATCTTGTCAGAAAACATTTTTTGCACTATGATGTCTGCAAAATGAATTGACCTAAACTGTTTCTTACCGGTCTGCTCTGCGCTGAAGGCCACAAACCTACAGCTGGATTTGATCTGGTTCCCACAGGAAGTGAAAGACCCCGCCCTGACATCACTGATCCACCCCTGAAGAGAGACAGTGAAAGAAGCATAAACCATAGAGAAACTCTGGTTGGTTCACAGAACAGGCCGGTTGAGGTGGCTGGAATGGAGCAAAATACCAACAAGACTTTCCTCAACATCAATTATATTTGAAACTAGATCAAAAAATACAAGAGGGTATACCATACATGATGTGTTTAACTTCAAACATGGAAGGAAAAAAATTGAAAGAACTGATTGTTCCTGATGGAGAACATTGTGCTGAATGTCCTGGGTTTCTGATAGACTGTCAGCTAAAAGTGAACAGCTCATAATTACAGATTTCCAAATATCAACGAGAAAGATTAAGGAAACTCAAATAAGCTCTTCATGGTTTCCATGGAGCCACCCATTTCCATAATTGCAACACACTTAGGCAAACATGCGGAAAAGTTCGTGTATTTCAGATCTGCATTTCATTTGAATACCAACAGGATGAAAATCACTGTCAGGCATGATTTAACGACTACGCAATTCGCCGTCAGAGACAAGCTCCCTTCTCTCGAATCACTTCTAAGTTTTTTGCTTGATAATGGTCCCACCCCTGTAAGCACAGCTCGAGAGTTCTTAGCATTCAGACTTTTTGCGCTAGACTCGGAAAGCGTGAGTACAACACAGATAGAGACAGAGGTACACGCCTGTAGTCAAAGAAAGTGACAACGCGCGAGACAGGGAAAGCAGCGACTTTGAGCCCCTGGCGAGCTGATGAAGTGTCATTACAAGTGCAATAGCCAGACAGAGAAAAAGAATTAGTGTTCATTCTGCAATGTTATGTTTACAGGTAAAAAAAAAGATGGAAGGAAGAATTAAGTGATGGATGACAAAGAGGTAACCAGAGAAAGGAATGTCAGAACGTTTGCATTGAGCAACTGATGAACAATGAGGCAACGGGGATGAAAGCAGAACTCCCCACCATTGCAGAGCAGTTCGAAGTCATAAGGTGTCACAAGCTGTGGTCTCCTGGATACTG